ACTGTTTTAGGCTTTCTGCTTCTTATTACAAAGTAGTATGGGTTTTTTCTCAAATTTGAAGACAGAGTAGTCAGCTGCAAATCTAGTATTATGGATAAACCTAAAACATCACAATCTGCCTTCTAGAATGTACTATGTGTAATCTTAGCCCAGACTTTTCTTTTCACTAAGATTTCAGGTGTTATCTCTGATACTAAGTGCAAATTTAGGGACAAACTAATGTTGCTTGTATTTAAAACTGATTTAAAGAGATCTCCTACTAATGCTCAGTGATTCCCAGACTAGAACTACGTGGAAGTGGTTTTGGTGTTTGGACAGATCTGAAGGAAGCAGGCCCAGGACGGAGTAGAGGGGTAGAAGTCATGGTTTACCGTGGAAGCCTCAGGAGTGAGAATCCTGAAATATACATACAGTGGTAGTAGAAAAAATAACGTATGTTTTTTGGTGAAAAAAGTGTGGCCCAGGAGTTTCATACTTTCTACATTATAGTGAGTACTAGGATCGTAACACAGGAAAACAATGGAGGTAAAATAGTAATGATAAGAGTAATAAACAACAGTCATTGCATGTGTATCATGTTTCAGGAACTGCACCAAATACTTTTCCATTTGAGTGAAGTACTTTTCTGTCAGCAATGTAGAAAACGGGACATGAGGCTTAAACCTACGGTGGTGATAAATAGGAGGGTGAAATGTCATGCTATGTCTGACTCCAATAGAGTTTTCTACCACTGTGCCATGAACACACAAATAAGAGGTAAAACTACACAGTTTCAATGTTTCTTTATTGTTAAAAGCTAGAAAGAAAAATATAAACTGCATATACATTAATTGCCAAATATTGTTGAACAATCCTACATAAGGAAAATGTCACCTCTGTGTTAGATCATCTGTTTATTACATGGGGTTCCTGAGAACACAATTGTTTATTTTCAAACATTTAAAAACTACCTTGAGTTTTTGATCAGCATAATTTCTTACAAATTTTCAGGAACAGCATTTGAATTTTATGAAGTAGCTCAGAGGTCATTATGAATTTCACCTTTGTTCTTCCCCATACTCTTCAAAGAATTGTTAATCTGAGATTGTTCATTTTATTTTATTTCAAAGTCTGTAATTGAAATTAATTAATTTATTTATTTATTTATTTTTATTTGACAGGTAGAGTTATAGACAGTGAGAGAGACAGAGAGAAAGGTCTTCCTTCCACTGGTTCACTCCCCAAATGGCCGCCACGGCCGGCGCTCCACTGATCTGGAGCCAGGAGCCAGGTTCTTCCTCCTGGTCTCCCTTGTGGGTTCAGGGTCCCTAGCACTTGGGTCACCCTCCATTGCCCTCCCAGGCCACAGCAGAGAGCTGGTCTGGAAGAGGAGCAACCGGGACTAGAACCAGCTCCTATATGAGATGTTGGCGCCCCAGGCAGAGGATTAACCAAGTGAGCCGGCACCTGAAATTTATTTTTTTTCATCTTGTCACTATCTTTTTCGTCTGGGCCCTATCTTTCTTTTTTCCTTTCTTTTCTTCCTTCTTTCCTTCCTTCCTTTCTTTTTCTTTCAGATTTGGAGAGACAAATAAAAGAAAGAAATGCAGATAGAGAGCTTCCATCCACTGGTTCACATGCAAAATGCCCACAGCAACTAGGTTGGACTAGGACTGGAGCCAGGAACTCATTCATTTCTCTCACATAGGTGGTAGGGACCCAATTGCTAAAGCCATTATCTCCTGCTTCTCAGGTCGGCAAAACAGGAAGCTATAATCAGGAGCCAGAGCTGGAAATCCAATCCATCTACTCCAACCTATGTGGGGCAGTGGAACACAGGCATCTCAACCAATGTCTTAACCAATTGGCCAAATGCCTGACCTCTCGTATTAATTTATTTACTTGTGAGAGAAATAGAGACAAAAAGAGTCAGAAAGAGTAACACACCTATTCTTACACCAGTCTAGATTTATACTTCACTTATCCTTTCCAACACAAATTGTGTGTTGATATTCTTAGCTGTAAAAACTTCAGTTTGAGTTTCTAAAAACCAGTTAAAAAGAAAGAAAATGAGATATTTTAACCCAATTTTTAGTGGAGCTAAGTGGTATATTAATTGTGTACTTTTGATAATTTTTACAAAGGATATAGATAAAATGAAGTCTTTCCCTGTAACCCTTCAGAAACACAGTTACAATCTGCACCATTTCTGATACCATCCATTCTTTCCCAGAGCAGCAATGGGATGATTCCTATTTCTAGCATCTTGAACTGTAGTTGATTAAACTGAATTTTGGACAATGACCAGAGTTTACATTCCCAGTGGAGGAGAACAGTATGTATAGTGTACAGCCAAGATAGGAAGGAAATCATAAGAAATTGGAACAAGGGCTGAATGCTGATAGAAGGTGTAGAATCATCTCCAACCTCATTCTATCTGGTTGGGACTAAATTTTGAGACTTTTTATGCCATGTAGAGGAATATAAATGGTAATGGCCTGTAATTTTCAGCCTATTATCCTTCAGTGCCCAAGTAGTTCACCTATTTCCTTCCCTTCTGCTAGTAATTAGGTTGGAAAACAAAGCTAGCCACACCTTTTCCTCTCTTTTTTGTATCTATTTGTAACATAGTTCTATAATTCAGTCCAGTTAGCAGCCTGATACTATGGTTCTTTGTATGTGAAATTGCTCTTTGGCTTGAAGAAAGCCATAACTAATTCAAAGAAAGCCTAATTTGAGGGGAACTTTTGAAGACTATCAAGCAATTGAAAATATAAATGGAAAAATTTCAAAAGTCACTCAGTAGAAAAAAATACATGCTAGCCACATAAGCCATGTTTTTCTAAAACACATTTTATCTATTGTGCCTCTACAGTTTTCCTTTATTTCCCAGAGACTGCATCAGGATTAATGGGCCATGTTAAGTGAGGAAAATCAACCACAGTTATACAAGGTTGTCATAAATGCTCTCCAAAAGCCAAATTTCACATAGATTTATTTCTGAAATTGACAGAACCTGAACAGGACCAACTGAATGGAAGAAGCATTGTGGAACTGTGTGTGGGTGTTTGTGCATGTCTGTATGTATTTTTAAACTTTTTAAACAGGATTCATTTTATGTATAAAAGTTTGATTTCTGATCAACTAAGTTCCCAGAGTTTTTAGGTTTTTTAATGCTTTTTATGTTTACCATAAGAATTGCAACTCAAGAAAATTGTTCTGTAGAATTTTACCCCATTTTCCAATCAAAAGAGCATGCTTCTCCCAAGGCAGGGGACATTGCCTATTACTGGCACACATGCTGGGGAACCGATAGAATTGGTCAAACTATGCAACAGCATAATAAAATCCTTTCAGTAGCCCTGGTAAACCTGAGACAGTTCATCATACCTCTAACAAATATTGGTTTTATTTTGTGGGATATGCTGAATGTTGTTTGTACCACCTGTGGAAATTGTGAGCCATTCAGGAATTTTTCTATTTTCCATCGAAGTGTTAAGAGTGGCATAATGGCCGGCGCCGCGGCTCCCTAGGCTAATCCTTCGCCTTGTGGCGCCGGCACACCGGGTTCTAGTCCTGGTTGCCCCTCTTCCAGGCCAGCTCTCTGCTATGGCCCGGGAATGCAGTGGAGGATGGCCCAAGTCCTTGGGCCCTGCACCCGCATGGGAGACCAGGAGAAGCATCTGGCTCCTGGCTTCAGATCAGCATGATGCGCTGGCCGTAGCGCGCCGGCCGTGGTGGCCATTGGAGGGTGAACCAACGGCAAAGGAAGACCTTTCTCTCTGTCTCTCTCTCTCTCTCACTGTCCACTCTGTCTGTCAAAACAAAAACAAAACAAAAAAAAGAGTAGCATATTAATACATTTCAGTTTAGTTCCATAATGTCAGAAATTTTTCAAAATAAAACTAAAAGATGGACTGGAAAAAAAATTGTGAGTCATACAAAAAACAGGCGACTAATAAGAACATGCTGAATGTAGATACTTTTTTTTTTTCCACTTTTATTTAATGAATATAAATTTCCAAAGAACAGCTTATGGATTACAATGGCTTCCCCCCCATAACGTCCCTCCAACCCGCAACCCTCCCCTTATCCACTCCCTCTCCCCTTCCATTCACATCAAGATTCATTTTCAATTCTCTTTATATACAGAAGATCAGTTTAGCATACATTAAGTAAAGATTTCAACAGTTTGCTCCCACACAGAAACATAAAGTGTAAAATACTGTTTGAGTACTAGTTATAGCATTAAATCTCAATGTACAGCACACTAAGGACAGAGATCCTACATGAGGAGTAAGTGCACAGTGACTCCTGTTGTTGACTTAACAAATTGACACTCTTGTTTGTGGCATCAGTAATCACCCTAGGCTCTTGTCATGAGCTGCCAAGGCTATGGAAGCCCCCTGAGTTCACTGACTCTGATCATTTTTAGACAAGGCCATGGTCAAAGTGGAAGTTCTCTCCTCCCTTCAGAGAAAGGTACCTCCTTCTTTGATGACCCGTTCTTTCCACTGGGATCTCACTCGTGGCCATCTTTCATTTAGGTTTTTTTTTCCCCCAGAGTGTCTTGGCTTTCCATGCCTGAAATACTCTCATGGGCATTTCAGCCAGATCCGAATGCCTTAAGGGCTGATTATGAGGCCAGAGTGCTGTTTAGGACATCTGCCATTCTATGGGTCTGCTGTGTATCTCACTTCCCATGTTGGATCGTTCTCTCCCTTTTTTATTCTATCAGCTAGTATTTGCAGACACTATTCTTGTTTATGTGATCCCTGAATGTAGATACTTTTAATGGTTTGTTAGAATCGCAGACCTGTCCCATCCCCTCTCAAACACAAATGTATCAACACTAATACTGGTGGAGTGATCCAGACATCTTCGTGTTTATCACTTTAAGTTCTTCATGCAGTAAGTATGTCTGTGTTTAAACAAATGGATTAATAGTATTGAAAATTCTGGGGTAAAAATAGAATCATGATCAGTCTTTCCACTTTCAATTGATGTTTGCTTTATCTTAGGAGCATGGCATCCCTACTGATATGGGCTACGCAGTGGCTCCTCACCATTCAGGCGTCTACCCTGTACATGTTCAGCTTTATGAGGCCTGGAAGAAAGTTTGGAATATTAAAATCACCAGCACTGAAGAATACCCACATCTGAAACCAGCCAGATACCGGCGGGGCTTCATCCACAAAAACATCATGGTGAGCTTTCTCCGGTATGCATAGGGTACAGTTAATTCTTCCAGATTTACATTCCTCATTTTAAGAAAGAACAAGAGAAGAGCGAAGTGTTAAAAGTGTGACTATAAGAGCTCCAAGCTGCAGGAAGCATATTTGTCATATCTAAGCAACGGATACTTTAATTAAAGTCATTTCTTTTCAGTTATTCAAAAACAACTAGGAAAATGCTTTTTTAAACTCACACTACTGCTTGGTAAGCAGGAACTGATGGTAAAATACTGAGAAAACGTTTCATCAGATTTGCACATAATTTTTAGAAACCATCATTTCTTCAAATTATTTAGTAGGTAAAACTCATACCAGCTCTCTTGGTAAACTGTGCTGCCGTTGGATAAGCCAATAAAGCCATTTTTCTTCTTCCTATGCCAGTCTGAAAAAAACTCAGCTATATGCAGCAAGAAGCCAAATGTGAAATCCTGCATAATTATTAACATGATAATATAGAATAACAATAACAGAGAATGTTAATTGAATCATTTTGCCTGTTTCTCTCCAGAGCTTCTTTTGTTTTATTTTGTATTTATACACTGGTGGCAAATGTATATTGTCAAAATGTTACCACATGATACTTCGTTACACTACACAAAGTAAGTCATTAAATTCTAATTTTTTTCTCTAATAAAACAATCAAACTTCACAAAAAGCACTATGTGATTAGCCACCCTAACTCTGTTAAACTGATATATTTTAATAGATGGCTATCCTCCACAATTAGGTGAAATTGACTTCTATTCAGATGCTTTTCCAGTGTCTGCAAAAATTAAGTGGATAATGACATTTAACTTGGATCAATTCCATCTTCACTTCACCCTCAATAAAAACTTTTGGAAATGCTAGACTAACGGCCACATTTTAACCCAGTCTGCCCTTCCTCTGAACTGAAAATGAACTTAGTGTGTCTCAAGGAGACAGCCTTCTGATCAGAGAGAATTTAGAAGACCTGAGTTCTATTAAAATGTAAAAGCATTCCTTCCTCCCCTGCCTCAAAATCATTGGTAGTTTTAATAGTGAAGGCTTTATTCAGTGTTCTCTTTTGTTTCTGTTTATCTCTGCATTGCCAGAAAATATACTTAGACATGTCCCTTAAGATATGTTCATTTTTCACTTCTTCAGAAAAATACTTTACTTGTATTATAAATGCATGGATCTTACAGGTAATACAGACTTTCTGTTTTGATAGAGCTGTCTTTATGGTTCCACATTTGCAGCAGTTCATGGAAACCATCTATATTTGATTTATGAGCCCTTGGATGAGAATTTCCAAGTGGGAAATGCTCAGCAAGCAATTAATTGTGCATTACAAGAGAAAGGACAGGGTTGGGTGCCATATAAATAGATATTCAAATTGAGACCACAGAAGCCAATATGACCTCCTACCCAGAGACTGCAAAGAAAAAGAAAGGAATTGAGAAGAGAACTTCAGATCTGCCTGTATTTGCTACATGAAATGAAGGAACTTGGTTTTTTTAATCCTCTATTCAACAATCAAGCTTTTAAAACCTAAAATGAAACTCATTCTCTTTCCGTCAAACTAGTTATTGATCCTGCTATCCCTAATTGAGATCTGTAATTTGAACATCACACTGAGAAGTCACTTCTAATCTGTCCCTAAATCCCATGAAGAATTCCTCTATAGCATCTTTTTAATTCCTTTCTTACAGGTACAATCTTAATTCATTCCCTTGACTTTCATGTGCTATGAAGCTGGTTCCAGTTTGTCTGTGTACAGCTTCAATCTACTCTCCCTCTCCCACAACAATCCATCCTACAGATAGTGCCAACCTCTTAATCTTCCCAAATGCTGCCTTCATCTTTGCCTCCCTAACCTTGATTAGTTCTAGTTGTTTCCACACCCTTTAATATGCTCTTCAGGGACCTGAAAACCAATCTGGACTAAGTCTTCCTTTCTATTTATTTCCCTGTAGTGTACACTGAGTTGTTCCTATGCCATTGCCATTCTTTCCACCTGAATTACTTTCTGGCTACACTTTACCTATTTCTATCCACTTTGTTCTTCAGTATGAAGTCCTATATCTTAAATAATTGAATGTTAAGCACTTTGGTATATCCCAGGACTCTTTATTTTAATTCCTGGTTGTTAAATGCGATTCTCTGTAGAGAGCCAGAGACCTCTAGGCAGTTAGACTACACACTCTGACTACCTCCTTAGTGTTTCTAATTAAGATGCCCATTAGTAGAGACTTTCATTACTCCTGCTGGAAGCCCCATAGGTGATCTTTATTGGTAGCTCCCAGGAGCATTTGTTGGCAGTTGTGCCTGATTGAGGCCTTAGCTACCTTATATTAGCTTCACTTTCCATTGACCAGGATTCTTGCTGGCCATGGCCTTTATAGCCAACTCTCAGTTACTGTCAGTAACTATAAGGCTTCTAGGAGTTCATCAATGTTCCAAAGTTTGAATTTGATAATGTCACACTTCCAGAATCAAGTCTCGAGAGAGTCCATTGCAGAATACCTAAAAATATCTCTTATTACTTCACTAAGGAATATGGAACTGTTTCAGGAAACACATTCAGCATCTTATAGCAAAGCATTTAAAGATCAAGGCTGTGGAGTATGATCCATTAACTTGTCTCCTCAACCTTCTGTAATGACCTACTGGCTTTCCTCAAGCTCAGGGTAGTGCTTATACTCTCAGCATAGGTAGTCTTCCTCAGAGCTGAGGGTATAGCTGGCACTTCCTGTTCACTATGTTCTAATTCGAATAATTTACGACAGACAAAACTAAAATTTCTTTTTACTGTTTTGTGTTGCATAGAATCATCTAGGTAAATCAATGATGGCTTTTAATATATGCCTTAATTTTCCCTTTGAGATACTCTAATTGAATATTAAAAGTGATTTAGAGGGGCCAGCGCTGTGGCACAATGGGTTAAAGCCCTGGCCTGAAGCGCCAGCATCCCATATGGGCTCCGGTTCTAGTCCCAGCTGCTCCTCTTCCGATCCAGCTCTCTGCTATGGCCTGGGATTGCAGTATAAGATGGCCCAAGTCCTTGGGCCCCTGCACCCATGTGGGAGACCCAAAAGAAGCTCCTGGCTCCTGGCTTCGGATCGGCGCAGCTCCGGCCATTGTGGCCATCTGGGGAGTGAACCAACGGATGGAAGACCTCTCTACCTCTCCTCTCTCTGTGTAACTCTGACTTTCAAATAAATAAAATAAATATTTTTTAAAAAAGTGATTTAGAGTCACACACTTTTAAAATCTACATCAACCTAGAATTTTTATTACATATGGGCACTTTATTGTTTAGCATTTGCTATCTCTCCTTACCTTGATATATCTTAAATCCTTCAAAAGTAAAATACATGTGTTCTTCCATGTGAACTGACATAGAATTCAGAATTTAGAATAAAGCTTTAATTTCCAGGAATTGACATTTCTAAGAATTGTTAGGCAATGTATTTAATTCAGTTAGAATTTCCTTGTATTTAGCTCTTTTTTATCTTTGACTTTGTGCATAGCAAAATAAGAATGTATAATGCTTTTAAACATAGACATCACTGGAGCTGATACTCTGCTTTAAACTGAAATTCTTTTAACGATTTCAAGATAAAATTGCTCCTAAGGCTTTATAACTTTTACCAATTTACTAAAATTAATAGAATATATAGAGTTTTGACTTACACAGCAACGTATGCTGTTTTGATTAAACTGAGAATTGGGTTTTCTAATGAAACTTTCCAGTGACTAGATTAAATTTTATTACAATACACATTCTTGCTAAAGAAAAAAGAACAAATATATTTGTAGAGGGTTGCAAACATGGAAAGTCCTGAACAGTAATATCTTCAAAACATTTTACTAGCCCAAATGTGCTTTCATATCCAAGACAATATAAACAAAGATCAGTTTGCTTAGGACAATAAGCAGGCTTGCCTGTGTAAGATGCTGTCAAATGTGGAGCTCTCCAAAGTCTATTCATTAATTTTCTGCTATTTCAAGTGTATAGTGACAAAATGCAAGTCATCATAAAGTGATTACATAGGATTTACCTGAAGACTGTAACATCTTGCACAGTTTTAGTTTATACCTTTTGTGTTTGCACCAATATTTTGCCATAAAAGCTGTAGGAGTGTGCTTATGACAAATGTGAATTATTAAAGCAAATAATAACTTTCCTATATAAAGGATAAAAAAGATGACCTTTTACTAAGTTCCGATTTTTATTTTTTATTTATTTGTTTATTTTGAAAGGCAGAGAGATAGACAGTGATGTCTCATCCACTGGTTCTCTCTCCAAATGCCCACAAAAGCTAGTGTTGGGACAGGCTGAAACCAGGAGCCAGGAACTCAAATGGGTAACAGTGACCCATGTTTACTTGAGCCATCACCTGATGACTCCAAGGGTGCAAAATGGCAGGAAACAGGAATCTGTAGTCGAGTCAGGACTCGAATCCAAGCCATTAGGTATGGGATGTGGTCATCCCAAGTGGTACCTTGACCACTATGTGAAATACCTGCCTCACCTTTTATCATTTTCTGTTACACGTTTTAAAAGTTGCTAATCGAATGGATGATCTCTTTCTTTATTTGGAACTAGCAGACTTACATTTAGAATTCTGAGCAATTGCTACAGCCTGCAGTAGTCTTTCCAACTAGAGCAGATGCTGTGATATGTGTCTCAAATATTTGCATTAGTTTAAAATTTCATTTCTTTTTTTTTTTTTTTTTTTTTTTTTTGACAGGCAGAGTGGACAGTGAGAGAGAGAGAGACAGAGAGAAAGGTCTTCCTTTTGCCGTTGGTTCACCCTCCAATGGCCGCCGCGGCCAGCGCGCTGCGGCCAGCGCACCGCGCTGATCCGATGGCAGGAGCCAGGAGCCAGGTGCTTTTCCTGGTCTCCCATGGGGTGCAGGGCCCAAGCACCTGGGCCATCCTCCACTGCACTCCCTGGCCACAGCAGAGGGCTGGCCTGGAAGAGGGGCAACCGGGACAGAATCCGGCGCCCCGACCGGGACTAGAACCCGGTGTGCCGGCGCCGCTAGGCGGAGGATTAGCCTAGTGAGCCGCGGCGCCAGCCCTAAAATTTCATTTCTTAAGAAGCATGTTGTTAGTAATTGACTTCATATTCTAATGCATTTGTGGAATTTGGAGAAAGTATTCTTTAAACTTTTGCTTACTAGAAGTATAATGTATCACAACTTCAATATTTTTAAAGTCTCATTTTTTTTTATTTCTTAAGAACTGATTTGGGAGCTGGCACTGTGGCTCACTTAGCCGGCATGCCGTATGGGAGCCAAATTCTAGTCCTGGTTGCTCCTCTTCCTGTCCAGTTCTCTGCTGTGGCTGGGAAGGCAGTGGAGGATGGCCCAGGTGCTTGGGCCCCTGCACGCACATGGGAGACCAGGAGGAAGCACCTGGCTCCTGGCTTCGGATCTGCGCAGCCCCGGCCGTAGAGGCCGTTTGGGGAGTGAAAGTGGAAGGAAGACCTTTCTCTCTGTCTCTGTCTCTCTCACTGTCTATAACTCTACCTGTCAAATAAATTTAAAAGAAAAAAAACTGATTTGGAGATTGAGAATGAGTGGGGGATGGGGAGTTGACATTGCTTGGGATGCCCACATTCCATATTGGAGTGCTTAGTTCGAATCTTGGCCTCAGTCCTGGTCCTGCTTCTAATCCACCTTCCTGCTAATGTGCACCCTGGGAAGCAGCAGGTGGACTCGGGTCACTGACCCTCATGTGAGAGACCCAGATTGAATTTTGGGATCCTGATTTTGGCCTGTCTCAGTGCTAGTTTTTGCAGGCATTTGGGGAGTGAACCAGTGGATGAAGATTCTCTCTCTCTCTGTGTGTTCTCTCTCTCTCTCTCTCTCTCTATATATATATATACATATATATATTTATCTCTCTATATATTTCTGTGTGTGTGGATGTCTGCCTTTAAAATAATGTGAAAAGTTAAGAGTCCTTAAAATATTTCAGAGCCTAATTCAGTTTCAAAATATTTCTTCAACATTCTTCTATATCAATATCACCTGAAGTAGAAATATGTTCCTTAGGCCGGCGCTGTGGCACAGCGGGTTAACGCCCTGGCCCGAAGCGCCAGCATCCCATATGGACACTGGTTCAAGCTACTCCACTTCCCATCCAGCTCATTGCTATGGCCTGGGAAAGCAGCAGAACATAGTCCAAGTCCTTGGGCCCCTGCACACGCGTGGGAGACCTGGAAGAGGCTCTTGGCTCCTGGCTTCGGATCGGCACAGCTCGGGCCGTTGGGGCCAATTAGGGAGTGAACCATCGGATAGAAGGCCTCTCTCTCTCTCTCTCTTCCTCTTCTCTCTCTGTGTAACTCTTTCAAGTAAATAAATAAATCTTTTTAAAAAATGTTCCTTTTATATCAATATCACTCTCTGTTTCCTAGAGTTTGAAGGATTTTCCAGGCCATAGCTTGAGTTGAATAATGACAACAGTTTGTACATCATCTTTTATGAGAAAAAAAATAAATTTCCCCAACTGAATTGGTTGAAAGGAACGTGGTCCTTACTTGATGATTTTTCCTTTAGGTTCTTCCAAGACAGACCTGTGGGCTTTTTACTCACACAATTTTCTACAAAGAATATCCAGGAGGTCCTAAGGAGCTGGACAAGAGTATTCAAGGCGGTGAGCTTTTCTTCACTGTGGTCCTCAACCCAGTAAGTACTTGGGAGTCATCCTCCAAATAATAAAAAATGGCAAAGTAGGTGATAACTACCTTGACAGAGAAGCAATAAATGTTCTATTTCTAAAACAGTAGTAAAAGACAAAATGGAACCACATCTAGGAATAGGAACAAACTAACTCCACATGTAAAAGTGATGTGAGAACTTATGGCGGAACTAGGAAGTGTTCCAGCAGATCTCTTCTACATTAGAAAGTGACCAGAATTTACAAATCTTGCTTTTATTAATAATAAATTTTTTCACCTATAAAACTCTCCTGTCTCCACTGGAGACTTTTTTTTTTTTTTCAGTTGGCCAACTACTACCTCTGTTCTTCTTTCTCTTGCTATTTAAAGTATAAGCAAAACGCTTAATACGTTGTAAGTAAAATGGAGAGGAATCGGATAAGCAACTATAATCATTTTTCTTAAATCCTGTTTGATCTTCTCTTGCTAGGTTAGAGGCTGAGGCAGAGCAGCCCTGTGGAAAGGGCTACTGCTTTTCCTCTTCTACTTGTTGATCCATGTTTGTCAGCTCCATGAGAAACATTTGCGCACATTTCTACTTGGGACAAGTATTATAAAATTATGTAGTGAAATAAGAAATTATTGAAATAAGCTAGATAAGGAAAATAGATTTTATTTCACTTCTGAAAATCGCTAATACAAAAAGGAAAACTAGGTTTATCAGGAAATATGTGTTTGCTATAAGCATACGCCGTGTCTAAGATGAAAAGAGGTAATTATGTCCAAATGTGAAAAAAACTTCCATTTCTGTAAAAGTGGGACAAGATACAGATAAACAAAATAAAATTTAAAGTACTTCATTCTATAGATCCTGCAAATAAAAGTGCAGATATTTTTCATCATCTACTTGTATTCAAAAAGTGTATCTATTTTTTAGCTCTTAGAAAATGAGATAAAAGTAAGGGTAATTCATATGATGAACTAAGGGTAACATCCTTGGGTAAAATCTACATCTGTATTTTTGGAATGGACTGGTGTTTGGCTTCTTGAAAGTTTATCAACCTCAAGACTCCAAAAATATAACTAATTCTGATTTATATAGCAGAAGTATTCTGATTCCCTTCACTTTTCTGGGTCTCTTCATATGGCTTACTTGTTTTTTTGTTTTTTTGTTTTTTTTTTCAGTTCAGCCAGTAATGCTACATAGGCAAGTGGGGTTAAACTAAGGCCAGATTATGAATTAAAGACTCTTAAAATACTCAGAAAATACTAACACTTTAACCAATAATTTATAAAGACCGTTTAATCTGTAACTTCTAAAATGATGGTGTTTTACATCATAGAATATGAACAGTCATCTGATGGGTTCCTTCAGGCAATTGGTTGTATTTGTACTTAAGGAGTCCCTGGTGATATTATTTTAGAACTTTCTAACCAAGGCTGGTGCCGCGGCTCACTAAGCTAATCCTCCGCCTTGTGGCGCCAGCACACCGGGTTCTAGTCCCGGTTGGGGCACCGGATTCTGTCCCGGTTGCCCCTCTTCCAGGCCAGCTCTCTGCTGTGGCCAGGGAGTGCAGTGGAGGATGGCCCAAGTCCTTGGGCCCTGCACCCCATGGGAGACCAGGAAAAGCACCTGGCTCCTGGCTCCTGCCATTGGATCAGTGCGGTGCGCAGGCTGCAGCACGGCGGCCATTGGAGGGTGAACCAACGGCAAAGGAAGACCTTTCTCTCTGTCTCTCTCTCACTGTCCACTCTGCCTGTCAAAAAAAAAAAAAAAAAAAAAAAAAAAAACCTTTCTAACCAAATGAGTTTCTTTTAATGTGGAAAAAATTCAAAATTAGATCATCCACACATAATGCATTTATATTAAGAATTTCACCCATTTTGTGATTTTAGAAAAATTACATTTTTATTAAAAACAAATTATTTTCTTAATTTAAGAATCTTATACAAAAGCTTGTGTTAATCTTGGACACTAATTTGTACTAACTGAGCAAAAGTTCTGAATGTATATAAGAGGAAATGTTTTAAAACAACAAATATTTTTAAACTTAAACAGTTTTAAACTAGATTTTTTTTAACTAAACTAGATTTTGAATTACTTTTCAGGCCTTTGTCAATAATTTTTCACAACTTTATTTCTCTTAATGAAAAGATTCTTAGGAAATAACAGATGAAAAATGCTTCACAAAACTGTTTTTCCTTGACTAAGAAAACTTCAGTAGACAATTATTTTCAGATAACTACTGCAAATAATATCAGTACTAAAAGATAAAAGGAATACAAAACTAGCTGCTTCTGTCACATCAATTCCAACTTTTAGAATCAGCTCTCCTTACCTGGAGACACATTGTTAAGGATTCATTTAGACTCAGCCCAGGTCTAGCTAAAAGGAACACTGCTATCATTAGTTAGTGATGTTTGCTTTGCAGAATGGAGGGGGGAGTGGTGTTTCTCATGAAATCTCCAACCCAAAATCAAATGCTTGGATAAAGCTTATATCAAAATTAAGAAAAGTTCAGGTGCACAGTGGTATGCTAGCAAGGTAGAAGATGACAGTATTAGGTTGGGATGACACTCTGAAAGCTTTAATGGAATCAAGTACATACTAGCTCCAGAAAAAATATGAATTTTATTTATAGTGAGTCTAAAAGATAGCCATTGACAGCTTACGTAATACCCCAGGCAATATTAATTGTTTAAAAATAAATTATGAATTTGTGAACACATAATATTTGTTTTTCTTTTCCTTTCATGAAAGTCCTGTTGAAGCCACAGTTTGGAATCACATACCTTAAGCCACGGATGCATGTGTTTTGGTGTCCACTCCATGTATCGTATTTTACTGGCAGGTCAAACTCACCTGCGGCCCAGGGGCTGTAGACAGGGTTATATCAGTATCACTGCATGTCAAACAGTAATAAATTAAAACAAAGGAAAAAATCACAAAAAAGAAATGCCATTTTCTGAGAGTGTTAGATGAGGTTGTTTATTACAAAAAGGTGTCTGTGTTTTGAAAATAAAGCAATTAGATACACTGAAATATATTTGAGTTTAAAATAATGTAAATAAGACATTAATTAATGAGGTTTTTAAATTTTTTCCTGTACATCAACATAATATGAAAGAGTCATGATATCTTACTAATAATGGAATGAGAAATAGCTCTCAGAGTTAAACTGGAATAGATCAAGTTGAAGATAAAGACTCTTTAAATAGAATGACTATATGGCCTGAAATATTCTACCATTACCAGAGCATTATTCACTGCTAAAGATATGCAATCTGAATTTAATACAAATAAAGACTTACAGAGACAAATATTACCACTGAATAGGGGAGAGAAAACCTTGGCCATCTCTAAGTGAGTATGCTCAGTGTCACAGCCATGGACATCTGTGTTGTGTGCTGGATGCAGGTATGACTTAAATAGACTTTGAGTTTCAGGTGCAGTAGGGATGTGGGCCCATTAGGCTATCTATTCCTCGGGTGACTAGGAACTTAATCCTTCTAATTCTTCTATTTCTTATTCTAAATTCAGCCAGCAACCTTATGTTTAAGGCTTATTTTCCCATTTAGTTTCTATTTGAGAAGAACATGATGATCACAAGAACTTGTACACACTGTGACAGTAATTTGCAAAATAATAAATATTATTTCTTTTAATTGGTGACAACTTCTCATGTAACCTAAAAACCAGGAAAGGTCCCTGTAACAATACAGACTCTAATATTTCAGTTCTTCTCTCATTTATAAATCCTAATTTAAGCTAATAAAGGACAGCATTGGTTTCATGAGCTTTACTAATTTTTTCCCCCTGAAAAATTGACACTCTTTCTCTCAGTGTGCTACATCAGACTTTGGGGTCCATCAGGCTGAATTACACACACTCAATTGTTTTTCAATTGATTCAGGATGGCAGTGAACATTACCATTGGAGAGCATGTGAAAGCACCTTGGGGTCACTCTTCATTACACCTAAACAAGAACAAAATTCCAACACAAACATGTGGTATAACCAGAAACAGATATTCTTGAACAATTCATAATTCTTTTGAGTATTTTATATATATAATATATATATTTATGATACATATACAAAAGGAAATAGTAGGAGTAGACTATCCATTTTAACAAGTTTCTGTTTCCATCTATCTTAGGAAGATGTGACAATATTTAACAAGTGTGACAAATGGGATAGTTCTGAGTTAAATAGGATTATACCTTTTGTGGAAACCATATTATCATCCCAGATGCTCTGAACAAATATATCACCTTCTTTCTCCTGTGTTCTTATTTTTAATCACAAGATGTTCTGAATCTCTGCTTATGCTCTTGTTCAATAAACAAATTCTAGGTATTGAGTCATGAATAATTGGTATCTGTGAAACACTTTTCCTCCCCTCAACATGCTTGATAAACTTGTTTGCTTCATGTACAAGTATTAATCCAACACGAGAGTTATGAATTGTCACAAGATTGAAGCTCTTATTGAATTTGCTTGTAGTTCAAATACAGCAAATCCTTGATCTGAGAACAAGATTAGATTGCCTTCATCAAACCAGTAGACATCCCACAGACCCAGTAACTTTCCTTAACTTCTACATTTTATTAAATACTCCTCATCATTATGTCTTTCAATATGATACAGCATCCTTTCAGTATATGCGCCATACCCTCCTACTCAAATCAGTGAAAGGTGAATCTCTCACATTAAGAAAGAAGCATAAACATGGATGTGAATACTTTAAACTGAGAATAAACATGGGTGGATTACAGTTAAAATAAAACCACAAAATTCACTTTAGAAGATTATCTTCATAAAAACAGAAATTAAACCACATGGAACTTTTTTAAAAAATTATAATGTGTGCGTACTGTATGCTTAATGATAAAATTTATCTGAAAGTAGACAGCTTTTTTCCCTAATGAGAAATTTTATTTAACTTTATTTTGTGATTTATAGTCCCTATAAACATTATGGTAACAGAACACTCTTTATTGGAAAGTAAATGAATGTTAACAACA